TATTTACACAGGAATGATTTTTTTTAAAAAGTTTCAATTTTATTAAGCAGAGGAATGAGCTATTGAATCATTTCAAAGAAATAGCCTTACAGACATTTATAGTATGTATAGTATGAAAAGGTATGATCTACTTAGGGATAGAAGATAAGGAGGAATCATTGTTTTCAACCTAAATTCCAGGAAAATGGTAAAATTACTCATCCATAAATGTAAATGCTAAGGACCTGAAGCGAGATCTTAAGGAAATAAAAAGCAGCCTTGTTTTGGATGTATTTTGGACACATGTAAGTGGAAAAGTTTTGTAGGTTGCTAACAGTTATATTTTGAGCTGTAAAATATAGAGATTCTTTTCTTTTTTTTTTTTTTTCCTTTTTGTCTTTTTTCGTGTCCGGCAACGGATTGCAACCCTCAGTGTCGCACCCGTACCGGACCGGGACCGGCAACAGGATCGCAACCCTCGGCGTTGCTCCCACACCTCACTCAGCCAGTGAGCGGGAACCGGTCTGTATGTGGGATCCGAACCCTCGGCGGGAGCGCTGCCCCGCTCCCAAGCGGCACACTGTAGCAGTGCGCCACCGGGCCGGCCCCTAGAGATTATTTTCTACTAACACTCCCCAACCCCAACACATCTGCATAAATAAATGCACTTAATAGATGAGGCTGAGCTCTGTAAGAGGTTAAAGGTTATATCATATGATAGTAGCAGAGTTCAACTAGAATTTTCATTCTCAATCTAGTGCTCCTTTTATTCTTTCATTGGGAACCAGCTTGTACTTGAATGCTAATTTGTTTTCTTTCTTTTTCACTTGAAACAGCAAATGAGGAAAGATGTGTGGGCATATTCAGAATATTTTCTCAGTTATTTTAGGATATTGTTTATTGTAATGTATATACACTACAGGATATACATTATAGTATATATATGCTGTAATAAGCATAAATATATACTATAATACATATAATAAGATGTGCATTAGTATATCTTATCTTCAAGGATTCTAATAATATTATTAAAATTTAGTTTTCTCAATTCAGATGTGAAATGTAGTGGTTAGGTAGGGTTCCAGACATTGTTTCTAGATAAAAGTCAGCAATATAATTTTAAACAAACGTTAAAGAATACCAAATTTCTGACATAGTTTCTAAATGAGAATGTGTTCAAGAGAAGCTAAATTCCTTCTTTGGATGATTTCCGTTAATATTACCTCTCTGGTCACCAGAAAAATTGTAGATACCTACTGAGAACAGTAGATGTTGTGGAAGGAACTTGAAACCAAAAAAATCTGTAAAAATTTAGACTCTGGAACGTGAAGTTTTTTTTTTCTTTGTAATGTCATAGTACAAGTAATGATGCTTTAGGATTGTACGCATTGTTTCGTGTAGGTAGGCTAGTCATCTTTCACAGAAGGAAGCTTTAGGATCAAAGCAACTTTTCAGTTTTGAATTTTGACTAAACTGATTCACAAGAAAATTTAGAACTAAAACAGCTTATAACTACCTACTAGTGTGGACCTGCTTGGGATTTGGGTTCATAAGGTAGCAATGAGAGGGTTTTCAAGACCCTGTCTGTTTATTTCTATTCTTGTGCATCATGATTTCATTTTTAAACATTGAAGCGCTAGGTCCTTTTCTGAATGTGTAAGCAACCTGTGATTTTGAATTTAAACATTTGCAGTTTATCAATTATTAAAATATTGTACTACCATTCAAACAACGAATACTTATATTTGGGCATTCATTATCTAGTAAAGTATTAGGTCTTGTATGCTGATGTGTTAAAATAGCTTTACATCTAAGGTGTTACGGTGTTTATGTTTAAATCAAAGTAACTTTTTAAATTATCTGTGATTCAGTTGGATTAGTTTCATAAGATAAAATACTGACCTAAGATATTATTGGGACTGCATGAGATTGGCATAATTAAGTGGTGGTTTCCTTCTGAATATATTTCTTTTGAAAAATATGTGAAGTACTATATTTCCCCATTACTTATGGATATATATTTTTTTACAAAGTATTTGAAATGTGGCTGTATAAAAGCTTATTAACATGAATTGAATAACTGTAAATGTAAACCTGTCCTATCAGATATAACTTATCAGAATTAATTTCTACTTTTCCCCCCTCTTTTTTTGCCAACGTAAAGTGGCTAAAAGCCAAGGTAAGAGATGTTACTTATCATTTGATCCACAGTATTCCCTCTATATTGATAGAGGCTGCAGAGCCACTAAAATTTGAAAATTCTTATGTCTGTCTGCTTTCCTGTAGGATTTATATAGATAAAATTACTCAAACTCAGTTCAAATCAGCAACATTTAACTTGGCTGTGTTAATATATCAAAGATATATTGACATCTGCATTTATATAGGAACATTAATTTTGCTAACATTTATTGCTTTGCTCATTTTTTGATAGTTGCCTTGCTTTCATTGACTTACAATTAGGAGGTTTCCCAGACATCATATGTGACTTTGTTACTGAATTGTCAAGATAAAAATGTTTTTTTGGAAGGGTATATTAACAAATTGACATTGAGATCTGCAGTTTATGTTTATGCACACTTTCAAAAATTTTAGGAAACTCAATATTTGAATGTAAGTAAGTTTAATCTCAGTTAACATGTTTAGCAATAAAATGTTATATAAAAGTCAATGATCTCACCTGTGTTTTGCCATAAATTGGTAAGAATGGCACAAAATAGTAGGAAAAGTGGAGTGCAAGTGATTCCTTGACATTTTAAAGTGTAGTACCAAAGTCGTTATTAAAACTGTCTGGGAATCCTTACTTCACATTCTGATATTAAAAAAATAATAATACATGGTGTTAAAACACCAAGAGAACAGTTTGATATAAAAATAAAAGCTTTTCTTTCCACATTTTAGCATGGAAATAACCAGCCTGCAAGAACTGGCACACTGTCGAGAACAAATCCTCCTACTCAGAAACCACCAAGTCCTCCCATGTCAGGCCGGGGAACGTTGGGGTAAGAATTCAATTATATTTTACAAAAGAATTCATATGCTAAAGGAAAAGGTGTTCCTTTGACTTAAGTAAATGCATGGATCCTTGGCCTCCTACTCAGAAACCACCAAGTCCTCCCATGTCAGGCCGGGGAACGTTGGGGTAAGAATTTAATTATATTTTACAAAAGAATTCATATGCTAAAGGAAAAGGTGTTCCTTTGACTTAAGTAAATGCATGGATCCTTGACATGGACATTCTCTATGTGCTGCTACCTGTGAGGAAAAGACAGACTGTTTTTCCTTTTCTCTAACCCCATAACGATCAACACAGAAGACTTCTGTGACCAAATGTGTATGTGTGGGGGCATGGAGGTGGAGGGGGGGGCAGTTGACCACATATCAAGCAAGGAAGCAATTCTGCTGTGATACCAGCTAAATGTCCTCTAATTCAATACAGTTCTGACACTGTCTACCTGGAGATAGGGTCAGATCACACAGGTGGAGGACTCAGTCCCATAAGGCTGAGCCTCCCTTCTAATGCCAGTTGCAAGCCCCAGGTTTTGCCTGTGCTTCTGACTGAGAAGCTGTGTGTGCATCTTGGTTCCCACGACCCCTCCTTGGGTTTGATTAATTTGCTAGAGTGGCTCACTGATCTAATGGAAACACAGTTACTGGTTTATTATAAAGGATATTGCAAAAGATACAGATGAAGAGATGCATAGGGCTGAGATAATGGGGAAAGGAGTGCAGAGCTTGCATGCCTCCCTGGGCACACCATCTTCTACAAACCTCCATGTGTTCAGCTGTCCAGAAGCTCTCCAAACTTTGATCTTTTGAGCTTTTATGGAGGCTTCATTACACAGGCCTAATTGGTTAAATCATTGTCCACTGGTGATCAACTTAACCTTCAATCCCCTCTTCCCTCCCTGGAGATTGGAGGGTGGGGCTGAGAATCCCAAACTTCTAATCTGCCTTGGTCTTTCCAATGATCAATTTCCATCCTGAAGCTACTTAGGGGCTGCCAGCCATTGGTCAACTCATTAGCATACAAAAAGAATTTATAACCTTGGAAATTTCAGGGTTTCAGGAGTTATATGCCGGGATACAGAGACAAAAACCAAATGTATATTTCACAACATCACGCTACATTTTACAAATTCATTTTACTTCGTATTTCCCTGAACAGACTCCACAATGAATATGCCTACTTTATAATAATTTTTATAGGTCTGTACTAGAAAAGTTCTATTGTATATGTGTAAATGAGCATTACTTATTTTTTGTCTTCTAATTATTTTTTAAAAATACAAACCTAACTTTATTTCAGTTGAAGTGACCAGAGGATTCTATATGGTGCATTCACATGTATTCATGTGTATATTGCAGAACTTTTTTTTTTTCTTAATTTATTAAAAAAAAAATTTTTTTTAATTGCATCATAATTGATTGTACATATCTGTGGGGTACAGGGTTGAATATCAGTACCTGTGTGCAATACGTGATGCTCAAATAAGGATAGTTAGTATGTTCAACATTAAACAATATAATTTTTTGTGGCCCTTTACCGATTTCTTGCTAACTCCTCCTCCCCGTCTTCCTTTCCCAACTTTGGTGGACTCAGTTCTGATTTCTTTTGAAAGTTCAATGAATTATTGTGATTGTTATATCTTTTTTAAAAAATCTATTTGTTTATTTTTTTAACTCCCACTTATGAGTGACAACACAAGGTATTTCTCCTTCTGTGCCCAGCTTATTTCACTTAACATAATTTTCTCTAAGTTCATCCATGTTGCTGCGAATGGCAGTATTTCATTCTTTTTTAGGGGGCAGAGTAATATTCCATTGTGTATATATACCACATCTTCCTTATCCAGTTGTCCATCAGTGAATATTTAGGTTGGTTTCAACTCTTGGCTATTGTAAATAGAGCTGCTGTAAACGTGGGAGTGCAGGTATCCCTTTGACATGATGATTTCCATTCCTTTGGGTGTATGCCCAGCAGTGGGATTGCTGGATTTTATGGCAGTTGTATCTGTAGTTGTTTGAGAAATGTCCATACTGTTTTCCATAATGGCTACACTGATTTGCAGTCCCAGCAGTGTGGGTGAGTTCCATTTTATCCGTGTTCTCCCCAGCAATTTGTTGTTCTGTCTTTTTGGTAATGGCCAGTCAAACTGGGGTGAGATGCTATCTCAATTTGGCTTTATTTTTTGATTTGCATTTGCCTAATGCTTAATGATGTTGAGCATTTTTTCATGTGTCTGTCAGCCGTTTGTATATCTTCCTTTGAGAAGTGCCTATTCATCTCCTTTGCCCATTTTTTAATTGGGTTACTTGTTTTTTTTCTGTTAAGTTGTTCGAGTTCCTTATGTATTCTGGATATTAATCCCTTGTCAGATGTAAAGTTTACAAATATTTTCTCCTGTTCTGTAGGTTGTCTTTTCACTCTCGTTTCTTTTGCTGTGCAGAAGCTTTCTAGTTTGATATAATCCCATTTGTTTATTTTTTGTTGCCTATGCTTTTGGGGTCTTATTCATAAAGTCTTTGCCCAGTCCTACATCCTGAAGTGTTTCCCCTGTGTTTTCTTTTAGGAGTTTTATAGTTTCAGGTCTCATATTTAAGTCTTTAATCCATTTTACTGAAGTGTTTCCCCTATGTTTTCTTTTAGGAGTTTTATAGTTTCAGGTCTCATATTTAAGTCTTTAATCCATTTTAAGTTGCTTTTGGTATATGGTAAGACGTACAGGTCTAGTTTCATTCTTCTGCATATGGATGTCCAGTTTTCCCAGCTTCATTTATTGAAGGGTCAGTCTTTTCCCCAATGTATGTTCTGGGTACCTTTGTCAAAGATCAGTTGTGAGTATGTGGGTTGATGTCTGGATTCTCTCTCAGGTCCGAGTGTTTGTTTTTATGCTAGTACCATGCTGTTTTGGTTACTATAGCTTTGTAGTATAATTAGATGTCAGGTAGTGTAATACCTCTGGCTTTAGTTTTTTTGCTCAGGATTGCTTTGGTTATTTGGGGTCTTTTGTTCCTTGTGAATGTTAGAATAGGTTTTTGTTTCTGTGAAGAATGTCATTGGTAATTTGTTGGGGATTGCATTGAATCAGCTTTGGGTAGTATGGACATTTTTATAATGTTAATTCTTCCAGTCCAAGAGCATGGAATGTCTTGCATCTTTTTGTGTCTTTAATTTCTTTTAGCAGTGATTTGTTGTTCTTGTTGTAGATCTTTTTCCCCTTTCTCAAATTTATTCCTAGGTTTTTTATTTATTTTTTTGTAAGTGGGCTTGCTTTTTTGATTTCTTTTTCTGCAGAACTTTGAATAAGTGATCTACTTTGTATATTTTGGCTTAGTAGTCTGCAGTTTCTTCTGTTTCCTCTATTATGTGGTACCTGAGACTTAAGGATTCATTACTGGAGTACTTGTAACTGTGCTTCGGCTGGTAATCTTAGGCTTCTTCATACTAGAGTAGTTTAATGAGAAGGCCAGTTGGAGAAGTATAAAAGATAACATTTGGTGGCTTTTTCCTTCCCATTTCTCACTGTATTAAATATATTGAATACCTGCCGAGACATTTTTGAAAGACTGTTCACCTTAACACAGGAAATGTTATATGAGATTTCTTGGTTTTGGTGGAGAGGTTGATCAACAATCAACGTTTTAGAGAATCTTAGTCCCTGTTTTCATTCTTTAAACACTCTGCCCCTGAAAAAAAAAATGAAGTTATTAAACAGAAAAGTAAAAACTATTTTGCTGGTAGTACCAATGTCTAGGTTTTGATCCCTGTACTGGCCAGCTCCAAAAAAAAAAGTAAAAATTATTTATTGAGAAATTAATGGCATTACATCTAGCATCAGATTGTAGTTCTCCATATATTACTATATTGAAGTAGGAATAAATTACAGAGGAGATAATTAGCTTCCTATGTGAAGAACCAGTGGCTTATGGGTGACTGAGCTGGGAATAATGTGCATTTCAAAGTTCGACATTTTTGAGCATTTAAAAAAATTATAACCATTATTTTTAGAAATAATGTTAGAACTTTAAATTACCCTTTTATCTGTTTTTTCTAAGAAAAGGCAAGAAATTTTAGCATTTGTGTTAAAGTACCAAAATTCGTATACTCCAATTTAAGAATATATTTTAAAATTACAAACTTTATTTATTAAACATTTTTTTAAAAGTCTTTTAGGGCCGACCCTGTGGCTCACTCGGAAGAGTGCGGCGCTGGGAGCGCAGTGGTGCTAGGAGCACCGAGGCCATGGGTTTGGATCATATATAAGGATGGCCGGTGTGCTCACTGGCTGAATGCGGTGTGGTTACGATCCCCTTACCAGTCAGAAAAAAAAAAAAAAGTCTTTTAAACTTTGTCACAAAGGGACAATCACAAATTTGTGGGGAGTATACCATTTTATCTTTTTTATTCATTATTCCTTTCTCTGTTGTACTTCTTTAGACGGAATACACCTTATAAAACCCTGGAACCTGTTAAACCCCCAACAGTTCCTAATGACTACATGACGAGTCCTGCTCGGCTTGGAAGTC